CCCCAAAACCCCAAAACCCCAAAACCCCAAAACCCCAAAACCCCGTTTTTTATAATAATAATTGAAGATGCTGGAGTAGGTTTGTAGTGAAGAATAGATGGTGTAGAGGTGGGATTGGGGAGGAGGTTATACGGATTTGATAGAGGAGAGAGAATTGTATGATGGTTAGAGATCCGTTTTGGATGGAGATGAGTTTGAAGCGAAATTTAGAGGTTTTTGTGATCATTATTATATATGGAATTTTTCTTAATAGTATTTTGTTCGATATGAGCTCTATTTTTCAGGAATATAGGAGAGGATCATGGTTAGTAAATTTTGTTATACTATTGATTAAAACTCTATGAAAACCTTTATAATTAAAGAAAATTAACATTTCTATGAACAAGAATACTTCTAAGAATTAATACTTCTCCACTTAGCCCCTCCCAATGACAACCTCTTCACCCAAATCTCTCTCCCACTCTAAATCCCCCTCCTAAATTCAGAAATTTACTTGAAAATCTCACCTAGGCTAAAACTGGAAATCTGTAGTGTAAAACTCCAGTTTCAGAACATTTCTTAGAAGCCACTGGGATTTTAGGGTTCTACGCTTGGTGATTTTAGGGATGAAGAAGGGACAATAGGGGGGTTTGGGAGAAATTTGAAGGAACAGAAGGGGGTAACTTTATGTAGTGGAAAAATGGGGCAGATTACGAGACAAGTGAATATCTGTACGGATATACCTATCTCGCAGGACTCAAACTCTGATGTAGCGGGTGGTTGTGATCTTATAGAATTCGTATGTCAGTGGGGAAACAGATGATAGTTCACAGAATGTAGCCACTCAGACGGATATTGAGACTTTCTGATGAATATGAGGTGGTCTCCAGGTAAATATTCTCTTCTCTCACATTTTCTAACTTAATTAAAGAGCCAGCTAGCTGAGACCATCTCCATTACTGATGAAATGAACAACATTCAGCCTAAATCCGGCTCTATTGAGAACCTTGCTTCTAATGGAGAGAGCAATTATGAAAGAATCGGCACAGGCAAATTTGGAATCCTTCCCAGACCTCCAACTAAGGGTAATCTACACAAAAACCGTATAGAACCTGGATTTGGATCACCTGAAAATTTCCTTCAAAAGCCTGCTAACAATGCCATATATTCGTACCCGGCCTCTACAGATATGAACTACATGACTAAGATAAAGAAGGGGAACACAATTGGTAGGTCTAGCGGAAGGATTTGGGGCATTCTGAAACCATAGAATGGCAGCTTAACCTACTATATGCATATTATGGGGTTTCTAAAGGTTGGGTATAGATCCAGATAATAACCCTTCGGCCAAGATCCAAAATGATTTGAAAATCATAATAAATAACAGAAGAAAATCTGAGATGCCTGTAAGTTCTGATTGACTTATTTCATCTATTTTCTATCTATTTTACAAATAGCAATTTTATACTTGATATAGTTACTGAGAAAAATCACTGAGGAGATACCAGAAAGGGGTAAGTCTGGCTGCTAATTTTACCAAGACCATGTTCAAAGCTAACCCAGATAGACTACTTTGGATTTTTACTCATCCTTTTTCTTTTAAAGAAACTTTGAACTAGTCAAAATTCTAGAAATATCCTAAATTTAAAATTTCGGTTGTTTCCAAAGTTTTTACGTTCTGTAGAAATAGATTTTTTTATTAAAAAGCTCATAAGAATAACATGTGAGAGTTCTTAGTCTAACTCCCTTATAGAGTCAGGATTTTTAAACCTTCCTGAGAAACAGAAGTAAGTTTCCTCTCATCTTTAGCATGGTTCACAATCAGAATGAGCTAGTCAGTTTGATCAGCTTCGGAGAAGGCAAGAAAGGAGGGGTAAGTCTCAGCCTTATCTGTAATAATTTATAAAGCCTCACGACTTTGGGACAAACATTAGCAGACAATCTTCAAAGATTAAGTACAAATAGCCGTAAGTAGTAGTAGTGATTTTGTAGGTATGGGCACTCCTATCTACCTTGATACCAATGATCATGTAAGGATTGAAGTAATAGGTGTAGTATCAGAATTTGTCCAGAGCAGACTCTTTCCAAACAGAGCTCAGTGGGAGTAGAGTATCCTCTAGCGATGCTTCTGGAATTAAAGGTATTGATGAAAAAGATAAGAAGCGGAAGAAAAAGTATCACTCAAGAAAAAGAGCAAGAGATAAGGTAAGAAGATGAGTTTAATTCGTAGAGTTATTCAAATTCTTCAAGGTCCAGTGACGGAAACAATCTCCACTTGCCAAGTTTGAATATTCCGAAGAAGAGGGATTTAATGGAAAAGAGAAACTCTTTATCAAAATTTACTTCTCAAAGCGTCTCCAAATTGCAAAATAAGAACGTAAATTTCCAGACTGGTATCTCTCCAAACTAATTGTATAGCAATGTCTTTGAAAGGAACTCATAAAGTAAGCAATAGTCATCCCCTTCTGCAATACCCTAAAATTTGTTTTCACAGCAAACAATGAACAACTTGATTAAGAAGAAATCTTCTCTGTTCGTAAAATCTCCTAACCAGAGAAAGCTGTTTTCAAAATCTTCTAAAGAGCAAGACTCCTTCAAGGCATATGTAAGCTTAGCCTCTTCTTTCCCTAACTTTCTGTAGGAAAAAGTCTCAATTACTTCCAAAAAGTAGAGTCTTTTGCTCATTACCAATAGGAAAACCATTGTGAGGATAAAGAAAAAGATTATTAATAACTCTAAAATGACAAAATCATATGACAGCAGTAAGATTATTATCCACCCCGATGCTAGAATTTGGCTGTAGAAGAATTCAAGAGTCAGAAATAAGGTCAAAAATCCATTGGCTCAAAGCATGAAGAACAACAATTTACTATCATTTGCTCTGCATAAGACTCAAGAGATGGCCAAGAAGCAAAACAGTACGGGTCTCTTTTAACCTATAGAAAAATTAGAAGAGTCCAAGGATGGTACAGTTCTTCTTATATGTAGGGTCGAATACTAGTAAGAGGAACATCAAAGTGTACAAGTTTGGAAATAATAAAAGCAATCTTAAGAAAGTGATCCAAGTATGATTAACATTAAATCCATTAGAAACGCAAGAATGAGAAAAGACATTTTAGTAAAGAGGACAAGGTGAAAATGATGAAGAATAAATCCCTAGCTCAAAGCCAGGTATGGAGATTGGTTTTAGAACACTTGAAGCTCAATTTTTGGAAAATCTGGCTTGATAAGTGTGGTTTTTGGGTACTTAATGCATTTTATCAAAAGCTTACTAATAAGCCAGAGAGGAAGCTTTCCTTGAAAGTCTCTCATAAGTGCTTTCAATTGAAATATTGAATCTTTGTCTAAATTTTCCTTGTTCTATTTCTACCTGAGAGGATACAGTTTGCCCCATGAAATTATTTGCATTTCATTTAAATTTACTATAACAATGATCTAGGATGTTGACGTGATGGGAAACAACAACATAACGATTCAGCAAGATTTATGTAATGCTCTTCCCCTTAATGTTGATCTTTGATACCATGTAAAAATATAGTAGATGCACCAGATACTGAGAATAATAAAAGAAAGGAAAATCACCGAAATATCTTCTATGAGCAAAGAAAGCCCATACAGCATTACTCTTCAGATCATAGAATTAATTATGTCGATCTGGATAAAGAAGAAGGGCGGGATACAACTCCAATGTCTCGTAAGTCTCTTATTTTATACGGCCTCTAACATTGTGTTCTAGGTAACCGAGGTGAGTACAAAAGAAATTAGAGTCTGTTTCATCCATTTTAGCCCGGGAAAATTTTGAGAGATATGTCCGAAATGTGACACCCCCGATGCCGAAATGGGAAAGGTACTCAAGTCTCTAACCTCTTAGTGACGATTCTTTAACAACAAGAAGTGTTATCAGTACGATCTCTAATCAAGGAAGACTAGACAAAGTGAACCAGTATAAGATCATAAAGATAATCGGTCAAGGGTCATTTGGAAAGGTTTTCCTCTCTAAAGACTGAAACACAGGCAAAAAGAGAGCTTTGAAAATCCTTGACAGAAAAATGATTTCCTGGACTTTGATCAGTACATTCTACCTTATATTTTAGATAAAACTCAGACTGCAGAAGCAGCTGTCAGGAAGGAGATAGCTATCATGAAGAAGCTGAAACACCCCAATGTTGTTAAATTAGTAGAAGTTATAGACCAAGAAGATGATGATGCAATATACTTGGTAATGGAATATGCTGGCAAGCATTCTTTGCAAGCAAAAATGAAGAAAAGCAAAATTCCCTCTGTGTATATCTGGAATTACTTCAGAGATGCTCTTAGAGGGCTTCTATACTGCCACGAGGAAGCAGGTGTTGTTCATAGAGATATTAAACCTGAGAATCTTTTGATTACAAAAGATAATAGGATAAAAATTGCAGATTTTGGGTGAAGTGTTATTATCCAGAATGGCTCAAAGGATCTTGAAAACACAGTAGGATCTAACTATTTCTTCTCTCCAGAAATAACTCAAGGGGTCACTCATGAAGGTAAACCAAGTGATGTATGGGCATTAGGAGTAACTTTATATCTTATGCTATTTGGTGAGTATCCCTTCCAAGCTCCAAGCAATGAATACCAGATTCTCTACAGAAGAATTCAAAACGAAGAGCCATACTACCCAGTAGACTTCGAAGACAAAGACGCTATTGATCTTCTTAAACAGATATTCATCAAGGTATACCTATCATCTAATTTCTAGGACCCAAAGCTACGAATCACTCTCAAACAAATAAAGACCCACAGCTGGGTGACCGCTTCCGGAAAGTTCCCCTTAGCAGACAAAGAGGAGCAACTATCTAACGATGACTCCCAAGTTGAGGCATAAAAACACTAAAAATTTAACAATATATTTATACTTCACATATAATTCAGCTTAGCTAGCCCAGCTCGGGGTTTTGGGGTTTTGGGGTTTTGGGGTTTTGGGGTTTTGGGG